AACTTTGAATCAGCTGTGTCCCATGAATGTTGTAAGTTGTTTGGCATACTAAAGACCAGGACAATGCCACTTCACACACAGTCTGATGGGATGATAGAAAAGTACAATTGGATACTTGGACAGGAATTGACAAAGTTTTGTAATAGCCACCAAGATGACTGGGATGTCTTACTCCCTCCACTGTTGATGGCTTATAGAACAGCAGAGCATGAAGCCACTGGATGCATTCCAGCAAAGCTGATGTTTGGTCGGGAACTTCAGTTGCCAGTGGATCTGATAACAGGACGCCCACCTTATGAAGAGTTGCCTGAAAATGTGTCAGAGTTTGTAAAAGTGTTATCTGAAAGGATAGATGATATTCATCATCAAGTGAGTTCAAACTTGAAAACCTCTGCTGATTCCATGAAGCTATGTTATGATAAGAGATCTACTGAAGTCAGCTTTGTACCAGGAGACAAGGAGTGGTTGTATAATCCCTGGAAGACCAAAGGGAAGTCTCCTAAGTTGTCTTCTCCATAGGAAGGCCCATATGACATAGTGGATCGTCTCTCAGACGTGACTTTCCGAATAAAATGTGGTTAGCGAGGTAAGCCAAATGTGCTTGCCAACAGGTTTTGGCATTATCATGGTCCAGGACATTTCAGTTGGAACGAAGTGAACAATGGAACAAATGATGCTGCTGAAAAAGCCACTGTTGAAGAAGAAACTCCACCTGGTTTTGAGAAGGGAAACAGTGAAGCCCTTAATGAAGTTACTACCATGGATGTGACTGTTACCACTAATAGGACATTTCCTGATGGAGCATATGAACCCCACGTGAAGCAAAAGCCAATGAGACGGAGACCAGTACAGAAGAAGATTCGTTCCTGTAAAATTAAGAGACTTTGTTGAATTTTAATTTTGTATTTGTAAATTCTGTACACTTAAGTTATTGTTAATTATCTATTGGTTTAATGTTAGTGGCTATTGTTTGGGACAAACAATACTAAGGAAGGGGCAGTGTTATGACAGCAGAAGTCACGCGACGCTGGAGTTTCTTGAAGAATCATTACTTATCAGGAAATCTCATGAATATACCGGTATTTCTAGACACCCTCTTTTTTTAGTATATAAGGGCATATATAGATAGATATAGATAATTGAGTCAAGCGAGCAGTAGGTACCATAAGTAAATTGTGTGAACCACTGTGATTTATAGCGTGTGTTTATAAAAGTAGTTAAGTTAAAGTGACTGTGGAAATTCTGTGTATTGCAAAGGGCATATATAGATAGATATAGATAATTGAGTCAAGCGAGCAGTAGGTACCATAAGTAAATTGTGTGAACCACTGTGATTTATAGCGTGTGTTTATAAAAGTAGTTAAGTTAAAGTGACTGTGGAAATTTTGTCTATTACTAAAATTTGTATCGAGAAAGAATAAAATAGTTTTAATTGAGAAAGGACTTGTATCGTTGAAGTTCCTTGGAAAGAATTTATATCGGAAATTAACAAACGAGCAGATACGTAGCATTAGCAATAGGACTAATAGGATTTGAGGTAGCATCTATGGAAATATTGAATACAAGACAAGGGATATTATTGTTTCACTGTATAAAGCTCTTGTAAGGCCTCATTTAGAGTACTGTGTACAGTTTTGGGCTCCCTTCCTCAGGAAGGACATTGAGTTGTTGGAGAAGGTTCAGAGAAGAGCCACTAGGATGATACCTGGGATTGTGCAATTGTCGTATGGGGAGAGAATAAAATCTCTTAACTTG